AATTGATTTTAAAATTTGAAAATGATTAATCATCCCGTTCATGTTGTCCTTCCTTCAAAAGATCATCTTATTGTGAATGAGTTGGTGAAACACTAATGACAATATTTGAATCACGATTTTTATTGAGCAACGTAATCACGTTTCGAAATGTAAGTGACCTTCCGGTAAAAGCTGTGTCTTTCAAGCTGCGAGCTGAAAAATACTAATCATTAACTTTTACTGTACAGCAAATGGAAGTTTGAGGGCGTATCTCCATAGACATCTACCTCACGTACAATTTTGTTTTATTTAATTATCATTACTTCAATTATTTCTTGGTTAATTGGCCATCAATTTCAAGTATTTCAGAGCTCGCCTAATGAAGGTACAAACAACGTCTCATTGAACGAAAGTCATTTTTTTTCGTGTGAGAAATCAAGGTTTTTTATCGACCTGTTTTGGAGTTTTTCCACCTTACACAATCTGAAAAACATTAAAAAAAAAAGAAAAGTTATTAGTACATATACTAGGATAAGTCAACTGCGTAAATTCCATGTATTTTTCACAAAGAAAAACGTTCTGTTCATCAGTAACTTACCATACTTTGATTTTGCCTATCAATAAAAGAGCTGAAAGACTATACAGATGTAATAAATATGTTGTTCATTGGCCTTCTTCATTCATACCCAAGGTGACATGGATAAACAAGATCATGGTCAATGCTGACTTTGCTGAATCAACATTCGGCAATACGCAGTTCTTGAACGACGACACAAAGGACCATTATTTTCATTTTTCTATTTTCAGATCATGTAAACACTTAATTTACTATAAATACGTCCTGTATGACGGAATGAGTTAGTTACAGTTATAATTGCAGTTGTAATACTTACTTTCTCCCTTTCTTTGGATGCTTCTTGCATCTTCCGTTTAAAAATGGAGAAGTAGAAGCCAAAAAGCTTCATCCCAAATATTAAACATTCATTTTGACACTTTCAAAATTAAACAATACGAATTTGTCACTGCCAAATACACGAAGAGTGATAACGGATTTTCCCGAAACTTTTCCCCTTTCTTTCAAATTGCACTTTCGACTGAAATGTTCCTTTCTTGAACTCTCGACGATTGAGCTTTGTACTCATTTGCGATTTAGTACATGAGTGGAAATAATTGATTGAGAAACTTGACCTGTTCTACTTTATTTTGACCGAGAGGGCCAATAGCTAGAACGATAGGGTATTATTATTGATATATCATTATGGGTAATTCGATGTTTGAAAAAGCCGATCGGGAGGAGAATCATTTTTTCAGCAGTTGTTAAGTGAGCTCCTCGGGCTACGAACAATTTTCGTGGCCATTGATACTTCCTTATAATATATCAACTTTCAAATAACATTTTAGCGACATGATTACCCAGTGAGATTGTGTTGCGAAACCTCTTTCTTAAAAACAATTGAGTCTTATTACTGATCTGCATAATTCACTCAGTAAGTATATAGTTTGCATGTCACAGTTTCTATACAGTTCTCACACTTCGATATAAGCTATGACTCACTCGTCAATAGTATTGATCGTTTTAATTTTCCACCATATTTTGTCAAATAATCTCCAAGAATATACTTACATAGGCTGTTACAACCGGAGTCATGAATAAAGAAAACAAAAGCCGGGCTGATAGGCCATGGTCGAATGCCAAACGTTTCGTCTGCTACTGCGGCAGACGTCATCAGTAGTATGTTCGTTTACTACGAGGAAAAAAGTTACAACTCGAAGTCTAAACAACGACAGTCGTTGGAAGTTTAGGTTTGGAATCCTGTAGCACTGAAAAATTCCTAGGAACAGTGAATATAATTATCAACCATCAAGCTTGAGAAACTTCAATTAATCCAATTACGGAATTGAATCAGATATCATTCACAGGATTGCTACACAATATAGTATATGAAAGAGGAAAAACTTCACTTACATGGAACACTGTCGTCTTCAATGGCGAACATCGATGTTTCGGAATAAGACACTTGCCTCATTATTTACTAGAAACTACGGTGTAGGTTGTTGGTAGAATATTTCGAAATTTTGTTTCTGAATTTATTTTCTTGTAAATAACTTGTTGCTACACATTTCAAGATAAAACTAATTTTTATGAGGGCATTCGATACAGTAAATCATGATATTCTACAAAAATTAAACTAAACTGTTATTAGAGGAATAGTATTTACATGGTTTTAAAATTGTTTTAACAACAGAAAGTGGTATACTTATCTACAGAAATAAGTTCAGTCATCACCCGAAGACGTTTGTGGATACAATCGAAATGTCGTGAAGTAACTTGGCTTGAAATATTTTAAATTTTATTTTATTTCAATTATTCAACTTTCAATTTTTGCTTTTATTTCATTTTATTTCATTGTAATTTCAGTTCAGGTTTTTTCTTGCTTAATATAATTGTTACTTCCAGCTATTCCTTTTAATTTTATTGATTACTTCAATAAAATTAAGGATTTCAAATCATTTTATATCATATTAGACAATGGAAGTCCGAACTAATGGAATTCAGGAAAAAAAGAGTTCATTGAGAACCATCAAGAGTGGAGTTCTTCAAGGTTCTGTTTTAGGTCCAACGCTATTCTTAATTCACATCAATTTTATTATAGAACTGAATTCATTTGGTTCTATCAGTCTTTCTGCTAATGATATAACCCTCCCATTTATTTTTCAAAAACACATTGAAAAATCAATTTCAGACGACTCAAACCTAATATATCTTTGGTTGGGATCTCATGATTTACATTTGAATTTCGATGAATCTTGCTATACAATTATATCCAGAACAAATTCAGATTACAAAACGTGTTTTCTCAATTTCAATAAAAAGTTGATAGAATTTCAGAAAGAAGTAAAAATTTCAGGTCTATATCTAGATGAGAATTTGTCTTGGAATTCACGTATCAGTCGACTCAGAAAGAAAATTGCACCCCGTGTAGGTATATTTCATAAAATAAGAAATATTATTCCTTTGAAATATTAGAAACCAATTTAGTTTTCTTTAATTCATTCGAATCTTCAAGGCATAACATCAGTTTGTATAACAGCTAATTCATCTCATTTGAAAACTTCACAACGGTTACAAAATAAAATCATAAAATATATATACAATCTGAATCAGAGAGAGAGAGAGAGAGAGAGGACCAGTAATTTGTATGAACTTTGAAGATTATTTGATATTAGGGGAATATACCATTTCAAAATATGCATGTTCACTCATAATGTTAAGAATAATACAACATATTCAGTATTATGTTCCGACAAAATCAATTCAATTCATGGTCATAATACACGGCAAATACAAAATATAATTTCACAACCACAAAAAAACAAATTTGGTCAGAAATGTATTTTCCATGATGGAGTTAGTTTATATAATAAAATACCCAGCATTATGAAAAAATAAATTATACGAAATTCAAAACACAGTTAAAAGAGTATGTCTTGAAATAGATTGACAATTTTCTAGTTTTATATAATTTTGTTTGTTTTCTTATATGTTGTACTATTCTCATTATGGTTTTTGTTTTTTTTTTTGAAATTATATGTTAACTTGTCCCTACTAAAAACATGTAATGTTTCTTGGGATCAATAAATTTATCATTATTATGATTGTTATTATTATTTAGGTTAGGTTAGGTTAGGTCCAAAGTGAGTGGGTCTATTCGACCCTCCACTGCAACCCGCAAGGGTTTATTGTGGCTCACACCTATTCACACTCGACCAAATAAACCCAGCTTCTTAACGAAGCCGATTAGTTTGTATGGTGAGTGGTCTTTCAAGTCAGATGGTAAGAATACGGCTCTGCCGAACTCTAAAAACCTGATTCGGTGCCCAGCGGGGTAGGCACAAAGTATGTGCTCTGCTGTTTCATCATTTTTCAAACAGAGGCGACACACTGTTTTCCGACAGTCAGAGTCTCTGCATATGATGTAGTCCAACAACTGTTTGGTATCAAGCTTCGGAGGGTGAATAAACGCCTTGGAGTGAGCCAATCCTGGAATATTCTGCCAGAAGTCCATAAATCTTCTTACCATTCAGGTGTTCAATATTTGTTTGGCAAAGCCTAAAGCGATGCCAATGACAAGTTCTGGTCCGATGATATTGCTTGCAGCACCCTCCTTTCCAAGGGAGTTTGCAGCCCCATTGCCTTCCAGGCCAGTATGGCCAGGAATCCGGACCAGAGACAATCTGTTGAGTCTTTCTATCGAAGAGAGTCGTTTTTGGCAATTTGCTACCAATTTAGACGTTACTCGGTAGAAGCCAAGAGCTTCCAACGCCAACCGCTTGACTGCTCGAGAATATTTTCATTGGCTTGTGTATAAGGTTGGATTTTTCCAATCTCTCCGCACATAATTCAATAGTGTAAATTTCCGGTTGAAATACAGTCGCATAGGTTCCTAGGCAGGTTGATATCTCCGTCCTGGGTCTGCGACTGAAAACACCTGCACCAGAACCGTAAGGTGTTTTTGATCCATCTGTGAACCAACAACTATCTGCTGTTAATATATCCTTCAACCGGTGGATCCAGTCCTCTCTACTCAGGAACAGTACTTTATAAGGCAGTTCGTAGTTGACAGTTGGTCGCATAAAGTCAGAGGTCATTTCCAGAATGCTGTGACTTCCAGTATCAACCAACAGTCAGTTGCACTCTGCATTAAATTGATTTGTGCAATTGGCAATGTGCACAAGTCTATATGCAGTCCATCTAGCCTCTCTCTCCAGAAAAATGTGGAGAGGAGGTAGATCTAGAAGGATCTCCATGGCCGCTGACCGTTTGATACTGATGGCGCCACAAAGTGGAATGTATCCCTGATTTCGAATCCTCAATGATTTGAGTCTTCAAAATTTCTGATATTTTTCGAAAAGGTTTCAGAAGATTGTCATACAGTTTATCTACAAAAAATCATAAAGGAATTACACATCCTTCTCACCTCACGAATGTATTAAAAATAATTCATGAATTTCTCTTCTAGGCAAATCTGCGTAGATGACGGGCAGGAACTTTCTCTGCAATATGGCTGCCAATTTTATGAAGTGAGCGCAGCAGAAAACTTCGCTGGTGTCTCTCTCGCCTTCCAGTCCCTATTGAGAGAAGCACGATCGGTCCAACTCCTCAAAGCCTTGCCGATCAGAAGAAAATTAGGAGTCAACAGTGTCTCCAAAGTATTAGGCAACATATTTGGAAAAAACTCCAAAGGGGATCGCAAGAAGAGACCATCTCTCAGTATATAAGTTAGACGAAGATCTATTTAGCAATAAATTTTCAAAGTTCCTTATTTATTTAAGGCTCGATACGTTGCCTTTTGAAAATAATGTGATAGCAACGCCTTACCATTCGTCTTCGTGACTTTTGAGTTGCTACGTCAAGAGACTGAAAAATCAAATAATTTCAATCTTGTCTTCCATTTATAATGGCATTGCGTATAAATAAAAAAAATTTGTTGAAGATAGATTATGAATTAATGAAGCTGAATCAAGACAAGGTTTAAATATCTACAAGGGTTTAGGTCTATTGCATTGTCGTTTTTATGGATTTTTGACCATCGTCCATTTGTTTATCGTTCAAAGGATCCACATAAACTCATTCATACATCAGTAATTGAAAATAAAATAAACAGAAAGAGACCAGTTGGAACAGGGGACGTAAATTTTTAGAAAAACCTTACAGAAATTATTTATGAAACGAAAGATAATACATTTGAGTTTTCATTAACGATTGCATTACATGTTCAAATAATAACATTTCCAAAATACAAATCATGAAATTATAAAACAACAATAAAAATTAATTGGGGCTCCGAGGCGACTTCATTGATTCCAGTGGCGCATTTGCTTTATCAGCTGCAGGAAAACCCGGAAAAACCTGTAGCACCACATCATCTGAAGAACTTGATGTGCCAATGTCCTCTCTCTCATAAAACAAAATGAAGGGGGTCTCCAGAGGCTCCAATAAATTCAATACATCGCCAGAACACTTCGTGTCACGACTATCGTCAAACTTAAACCAGTCCGTTTCGCCTTTGACCAAGGCGTAATAATCACCAAATCCAACGCCAAAACCACAGTGAACAATGACTGCATGAATATCATAATAGTGGTCTGATAGATTGAAGTGTTCATCTATTTCGAACCTTCGTAAGAGTTTGGTGCTTCTGTCAGGGGTTGAGTCATATTTAAAGATCATCAGTGTTATTGTTAGATTGACTGGTGCCCCAGCTATACTTGTTTTCTTATAACAGTCAGTTAGTTTGGCACATGTTTGGCAATTCAGTCGATCATCACCTATTAAAAGTTCCATTTTCAGATGATTTAACAATAAGTTTTGCACGGACTGGTTATTAGTCATATTAGGAAACACTAGTTGAAGTTTCAGAAATTCACATACATTATTTCAATGTCATGATTTAACTCAAGCTAGTATCCCAAAAAGGTTTTGTTCGAAAATTACTTTCAACGGCATTTATTCTTCTGGAGAGAGTTATCTGTTTTGAACAATACATAATTTGGGAAAAGAACTGCAAGACTATTCCCCAGAAATAGTGGAATCAATAAATTTGATCCAAGAAACACAAAAATTTCAGTTTTTTGAGATACTCAAAAACTTCTATAATTTTATGATGAGGTTGTAAAGACCAATTTGGCGGTATCTGGCATTTTTTCATTCATCTGAAAATATACTTGTTTCGTATTTCAAATAACTTGGCTCAGCTTTATAGCTATAGACAATATGAATATGTATATGTTTACCAACTTTTATCAGCTGTAAATAAATTTCATCGTCAGGATAAATAAAACTTTTTTTTCTCGGAAACTATAACTATATCTATATGGTTGTTGATGATGCTTATGGTTTCTGTTTGGCTAACGAGGCAGTTAGGTTTTCCTAACGAATATTTCAGTGATGGTCAGTACCTTATTAGTCAATTGATAAAATTACATGTCAAACAAAAAGATCGGAATCTAATCCATTAAGATGAAAAACCAAACTTTGTACTTCTTTTTTAGTCCCCAAAATACCAACGGCGAAACGTTAAGATGAAGTCAAACGGACGACAATCAACAATCGAAAGCATAAAGCTACCTTCTCATTGAAAAGTAAAGAAATAACTTTGTATTCTAGAAGGAAAATTGAATTGTGTGTCGTCAAGGAGCTAAATTTCACCTCCAGGTTTGTCTTTTTTATTGTTGCATTAGGTGAATATTCATATATGAATCTCTCCACATTCGTTTGTCGAACACGTTTGTGATTATACATTTTTTGATATTTTTAACGTTGACTTAATTGTTGAACATTCTTCTGCACACAAACTGATTTTCAGACAGAAATCACGGTATAACAGTTGGGCTGAAAAGTTGGTAGAAATTAGTACGTAGATAAGGCATACAATACCTCAATTAACTGAAAAAAATGTAAGCCATATGGAATTCAACTTTACTGAGTTTCCTAGCTTACCTGTCTTACAAGTACCTACAACTGATATGGTTTGATTAGTTTCTCATCTAGCCTGGCTAATTAAAGAACAGTCACCTTTATCTTGCGAAATTTAGATACGCAGAAAACTAGAAAGCACTTTGAGTTCATAACAAACAAGCACAATATGCTGGTTGTGGCTTTCCAAAAAAATATTTTGAAATATTTGAATGCGTTCAACACAGAGTTACAAGGAAATCTTAAATTAATATGTGATGATACAAAGAGTGTCTGCTTTTCGTCGCAAGCTGGATATCTTTGAAAACGATATTGCAAAACAAAAACTCATTCATTTTCCGACATATCTTGAATATTAAACGAACTCTGAAGAAGACAATGTGCAGTTATTGGAAAATTTCTGCCCTATCTTAGGGCAGAAATCACCTCAACTAGAGATAATCGATTTTCAAGAAGATGTGTCTTTGCAACTGTATAAAACGGTATTCTAATGAGAACTTTGGACCAAACATGTCCCGGAAAAACATGAAAATTGCAAGAAAGTAGCTATAAATTTGGCCACTATATTTGGCTCGACATACGTACCTATGTGAAACATCTTTCTCAAAGATGAATTTTTTGAAAAATAAATATCGTTTGAGATAGACGCCCACAAAGATAGACCCACTTCGAATTTGCTGTTCGTCTCGAGAGCCAAACTGTCTCAAGACCATGTAGTTTCTCACATTAATTTGTGTTTCTTGTGTTTCATAATTCTTGATTTGAAACCAAAATAATACATGGGTAGCACGTCATTGTTATCAGTTGTTTTTTTCTGGACCTCATTAAAATTTTCCCACAGTATACGGACCCCACCTAAAACTACTTGCCGACCCCTGCTTTAGAGGATCAGCTACCTCGATCAACTTCACATTGTGATCAAACAAAATTGTTTGGTGGGCTTCTTTATGTTTTCGTCGGTAACAGCCTCTTTGTGGCGTCCACTACGTGTATCGTCCTAGGTTCTCATTTCACCTCGTTCAAACTTAGCAAAGTGCAGAGTCGAAATAATTTTCATCGAGCCAAGCTTTAGCTTCAACAGTATTTTTTTCGCCAAAAAGCAATGCCATATTTTTTTGTGTCTTCGGCATCGACTACGTTGGAGATTAGCCTCGTGTCCTGGGTAGGCAATGTTAATAACTCTCCGAGCCACCTAGGGAACATCATGGCTATTCGCAGTCCGTCAGTCATGTAACGTTGCCTTATTATCATTTTTTCAAACTAAAGTTGCTTCTCCAAAAATGTTCTCTTCCACAAACTAATAATCTGGCAACTATGAAATTTGTACACGTCTCTTTTGAAGGTTAGGGTTTACTAAAAATCATATGGATTCATTACTAGTAGTACCATCTGTGTGTTAGCCTACGAACTTTCCAGCCCACATAATATTTATTTATTTATTTTCTTTTCAAAACTCAGATTTCTTGACAAAGTTTTCTGCTGCAATGGAATTTTTTTCACAATCATTGATCAATATGCAACTATGTTACAAATTTTTAGAATTTTCGACAATCGATAATATTCTGAAAGAATTAACAATTAAGTGGTTTAGACGAATTTTTTACAAACAATTCATATACATCAATGCCTACATAAATATATAAGTACCATATTAAAAACCGCATACCCGTTTTAATCTTTCAAAAAACTAATTAAAATCTACATATTCAATGTAGGTAATGCGGATTTGTGAACTATGTGTGAAAATCTCAAAATAAAGTGTCGGCCGATTCCATATCATAAATTATAATCATTTGAAAATTGTATATGTCATNTGAATACCAAATATTAGAGAATTGGTTATCATTTATGGAAGAAATTTAATAAAAAAACTGTTATCGTTCCGGAGATACCTACTGAGAAAACAATTTTTTTTTGGAAACTTTGACATCAAAAAATCAAAGAGTTCTCTCGGATTTGTTAGAAAGTTTCAAGATTGCTTTCTTCGTCACAAAATAAATCTCTGGTAAAAAATTCAGCCAGTTGTGATTTTATTTTATAGTCCTAGATTGTTCAACCATAATTGCATAACGACAAACAATATTATCATGTAAAATATATTTTCAATGAACAGTTTTTGATTTACTATTAACTATTGCAAACATTGTTTTTATGAAAACAATGAAATAGTGACAAGTTATAATTCGAATAAATGTAAGTATAAATACCGGGTGGCAACGAAATCATTGTACACGTCGCTATTCAGTTTATGAAATAAGAATATTGAAATCCGGAATGAAGATATAGTTCACCGAAGATGATATGTCTAATGATAAAACACTTGAAAATCTATAGGGTTAACCGGAAATTAAGACAAGTCAAAAATCTCAAATAGAACCCTATATATTTGTTGACCATTTCATCGGATATAAAGTTATCTTCTCAAAGATATAACACATGTAGTCATTTCCATCCAAAATGGCGGCGTAGGAACCATAAATATTGCCGAACAACTAGAAGTAAGAAGATACAAACAAATGAAAATTCAACAATTGAAAATTTCCATGTTTTCCTAATTTTTTTTAATGCCATATTTCAGTTCATTTATCCCAGAAATCTTAATATTAAGTTATATTTTTTGAGCTTCGTCATCGAAGTGTATCTCTTTTAACTTTGAAAAATGCTGTTCAATTTGTGTGCCACTGGAAAAGTGAGTAAGTAGTTTTTAATTTACAATAATGTAGAGCAGCTTTAACAAATTTACTTTCTCACTGGCACAGAAAAATGAACAGCATAGTGTATCTTAGACATTTTTCAGTTGTGAAAGAGGTACACTTCGATGTCAAAGTTCAAAAAATATCACTTTATATTAAAATTTTCCAGATAAATTAAGTAAATTATGTCATTTAAAAAAATAAAAAACAACGTCGGTTAGTGAAAAATTAAATTAATGAATTTTTATCCATAGACTAGTCAAATTTCGTCGTTTGTTCATTCCTACTTCGAGTTGTTTAACAATATTTCTATAGATGACGTCATAGTGCCGCCATATTGAAATTGCCGAAAATGGCTCCTACGCCACCTACGAGTGGGTATGACCACATGGGTTGAATATACAGAGCTCTATTTCAAATTCTTGAATAGCGTTTATTTCCGGTTACCCCGTTATAGATTGTCAAATGTTTTATCATTGAAAAGATCAGCATCGATGATCTAAACATTTGTTTCTAATTTAAATTTTTTTTACCTCACGAACAATTGAACGCCACCGTGATTTCGTTGTCACCCGGTATAGTAAATGAAACGAAGGATTTCAATGAATCGTCTTGTAAAAAGGAATATGTATAATTTGTACAAATAGCCATAAGTACCATAATTTTAGAATTACTGCCT